TTCTGCTGGGGAAGGGGTTAAGAGGTTTTATTCCCTCCCTAACTTTAGGGGAAAATCCCTACCTGGGGAAACAACCTTTCTCAGAGAGGTGACCTTGGTTAAAACACATAGTGCCAAGAAGGTGAGCAAACATATTAAGAACAGTATGCCATATACGCCAGGTGCCTTGAAACAGCAAGGATGGACCGGCTCCCGGCAGTGGAGAAGGTTTCTGTGTCATGGACTCTGCACCAGCACGTAGAGCGTGTACATGTGTGAGGGTCACACGCGTGTCATGGGTAGTTCAGGGCACATTTTCCACATCTGATGGTCGTCTGTGACCACAGCTTGGCTCACGGCCTCTGGCTGATGTTGCGTTTTAATCGTTGCCCAACTTCCTTGTGCCCCAGGCAGAGACCCCGGAGGACAGGCCGGCCCTGCTCAGGGGTCCGAGGCCGGGACAGGAGGGATCGGCTGCACGGGCTCTGGGAGGAGTGTGGTCCCCGTCCTGACCTCCACACCCTCCCCATAGAGGGAAGGCCTGCCCTCCACCCGGCCCCTGCTCCACACCCTGGGAACTCCCTTGTGCTCAGGGTCCCGAAGCCACCCCTGGGGAGGGCGGGAGGGCCTCACCTTTCTCTCCACGCGCGCCCTTCTCCCCTGGGTCTCCTGCAGAGAGAGGAGGGTGAGCAGCGAGGACAGGACAGGCTCATGCCAGACCCCGTCAGCCAGAGGACTCGCCTGTCCTTCTGGGGCTGAGAGAGCCCAGGGCGGGGACAGGTCATGGGGCAAGGGAGCCGGGTCTCATTTCTGTGCCGGGTAAGTGCTGGACTGGGGTCGGGATTTGCCCTGGGCCCCCTGGGTGCTCTGGACACAGACCCAGACCTAAGCCCTGGGTGAGGAAGCACCCTATTAGGGGCACAGTTGGGTTAGGGTTAGTTTAGGGTAAGAGAATATGGATAAACTTAGGGATAAGGATAGGGTTAGGGATAAGGATAGGGTTAGGGATAAGGATAGGGTTAG